AGGGCCAGAAGGTTGAGAACCACTGCTCTACCTTCTGTGTGTGATGCTCACACGAATAGGAATCTGGTGATTCAGTTGAGGGTAATACAGCTTCATCGTCCTCCTGGGCTGGTGTCCAAAGCTTTACTTGAGACAGATACATCCAGGAGTCGACTCCACTGACCTTGATTGCAGTGGGGGTGGACACAATGATGGGATAGGGACCCTCCCATCGTGGTTTCATAGTGGTGGAGAGAGTAGATAAAGCCTTAATGAGTACCAGACTTCCAGGTGTTAGCCAACCTCCACCCTTTTAGAAGAAACAGACAAAAGGAGGCTCACAGAGGAGGTCATGTGATGTATACAGCCTGCTCACTGCAGGTCCCCTCTCCAGTGACCTGCCTTCCTCTGTTATATTCAAAATAACTAATAATAATAACACCTGACTATAACTTTTTCTTTCAAATTTGGGGTGCTGAGAGGCAGGCTTCTTCTATTCTCCAATAAGAATACTACAAATTAGCAAGCATCCCAAAATGCTCATAACATAAAGTAAGATACACAGGCTGCAGAACTCCTCATGCATCCGTTTTCTCTCTTTGTATAGATTCTCTCTTCTTTTAGAGCTCAGGCAGATTATTTCCCTGGCACTGAATGGCTCAAGTCTTGTAAAACTCAGATAGCATCTGTCAAATCCATTTTCTTTCCTGATGAAGAAAGATAGCTACCAGGCAAATGGTCCAGAAGTGTATTTACCTGAAAGTCAGGATTGGCCGAAGATCAACAAGTGCAGCTGCCAACGACCGCTGGAATTACCTTCACACCATTCTCCGCAGATGCTTGATTGTGGAGCTACTGCCAGAACACCTGAAATTAGTGGGCCAGAAAGAGAGGTGTATTCGCGACTTTTGGAGTGCCTCTTCACATCTTCGGACAGTCCTTTTACATGGAACTACTGACTCCTCTACTATAAATTTTCTCCAGTTTTCTTAGCTTCATTTCTGCAGTCATCCAGGACAATATCCTCTCTTCCCATACATCGTGACCTGTGCACTTTTGTTTTTCCATCCTGAGTCTGTGCGAAGCCTTTGGCAAAGCTCTACATCCTCAGGAAGTGATGTCAGCATCAAAGATGTCTAACGTATCAGTTACTAAAATTGCATTAGCTCGAAAAGAAATGAAATTACTCCTGCAACTGCAGAGACTAAGATAAAAAATTAAGTTTGTGATGACCTCAAGCTTGAAGCAAATCCATTTACACATACGTGTGCGCACGTGTGCACGCGTGCGCGCGCGCACACACACACACACACATCTGCCCTGCTTTCTATCCTTGCTCTGATTTCATTTGTAATCTAGTTTGTGGCTTCCAAATTTTATGTTATTGTGTGGAGCATATCCTTGAAAATATTTTGCTTTCTTGCATTGTAGTTCATATAAAACCTTGGGTATATGTGAGGGTGCCCATTAATCGCAATAGCCCTTCAGTCATTTTTTAATTAAAATGTTCTGTTTTGCAGTTCAAGAATTTTGAGATAACATCATATTGAAGAAAAGCCATACCAAAAAATCTTAGCTGATACTTATTTAATCCACCACTATCTCACTCTCATGGATTCTAATTGTGAATTGAAAATCCCACTCATGTGCAATTGTTTTCCATTTTAGTAAAGTTTGCATATTATCCATTTATATTTGGGAGCAATTAGTTTTAATAATAGCAACAAACAAAAGTGGAAGGTGTTGCACTTACCAGTTAAAAATTCTCTCTTGATTTAAAAGCAAATGTGTCCAAAATACATGCAAAAAAAAAAAAAGAAAAGAAAAGAAACCAGACCATTTTCTTATACCATATACAAAAACAACAACAAAAACTCAAAATGGATTAAAGAAATATAAGATCTAAAACCATAAAACTTCTAGAAGAAAACATAGGCAGTAAATTCTTTGATATTGGTCTTCCAATATTTTTTAGATATGTTTCTTAGGGCAAAGGCAACAAAAGCAAAAATAAACAAATGAGACTATATTCAACTAAAAAGCTTTTGTATCATGAGATAGTCAACAAAATGACAAAATAATGTATTGAATGGTAGAAGATATTTGCAAATGATATATCTGATAATGAGTTAAAATCCAAAATATATTCAGAACTCATACAACTCAATATCAAAGAATGCAAACAATCTCTTTAAATAATGGGCAGAGGACCTGAGTAGACATTTCTCCAAAGAGGATATCAGCTGGTCAACAGACACATGAAAAGATGCTCAACATCATTAATCATCAGGAATATACAAATTAAAACCATAAGGAGATATGACTTTACACCTGTTAGAATTGCTAAATATATATATATCTCCCCCAAAGAATAAATGTTGGTGAGGATGTGGAGAATAGAGAACCCTGGTGCACTGTTGGTGGGATTGTAAACTGGTGCAACCACTATGGAAAACAGTATGTAGGTTCCTCAAAAAATTAAAAATAGAACTACCATATGATCTAGCAATCCCACTTCTTGGAATTTATTCAAAGAAATAGAAAATACTAATTTGAAAAGATATAGCATTCCTAGATATATTGCAGTATTATTTACAACAGCCAAGCTATGGAAGCAATCTAGCTGCCCATTGACAAATGAATGGATAAAAATGATACTATATATAACAAACTATTACTCAGCCATAAAAAAGAATGAAATATTGCCATTGGTGTCAATATGGATGGACTTAGAAGGTATTATACTGAGTGAAATAAATCAGGCAGAGAAAGACAAATACTGTATAATTTTACTTATACATGGAATCTAAAAAAAAATAAAACAAAACCAAACTCAGATACAGAGAAAAAACTGATGGTTTAGCGGGTTAGAAATGGGAAGGGTTTGGAGTTGGCAAAAGGTGAAGGGGCTTAAGGAAATACAAACTGCCATTGCACAATAAGTCACAGATGTAATGTTCAAGGTAGGGAATCTATAAAAATAAACATATAATATGCAAATCGACTGAACAACCCAACAGCAGAATGAATGTCTGGACGACCTTCTGAACGACCACACTATGACACGCACTGGTGCCAGGCCAGCCAAGGCGGGTGCAATGCGATTGGTTGGGGGGCCTGTCATCACCCCATGATAGCCCCATAAAGGGAGGCCCAGGCCACCCTCTGCGGGGTGATCTATCAGGGGGCTCTGTGAAACTGGGAAACTGGGGGTGTCTGGCGGCAGATGTGGGCTGCACTAGGCCAAGGCAGATGTGGGCAGGGGCAGAGCCTCGAGGTAGCTGGGGTCACTAGGCAGCCAGGGCTTTGAAGGCCTACCCTTGCATGAATTTCATGCATCGGGCCTCTAGTATCCTATATAATAAAAGGCCAGAGACCATAATGGCATCATGATCATAAATGACCATTAGACCAGAGCCACCACGGTCCCTCGCCGGGCTGGCCCCACCCCACAGCAAGCGGTTAGGGGCAATTCTGCAGGCAGGCAGAGTGGTTAGGAATGATCAGTCAGACAGACCAGTGGTTAGGGGTGATCAGGTAGGCAGGCCAGTGGTTAGGGGTGATCAGGTAAGCAGAGGGCCCCTCACAGGGCTGGCCCTGCCCCCCAGCAAACAGTTAAGGGTGATCAGGTAGACAGGCAAGTGGTTAGGGGTGATCTGGCAGGCAGGCAGAGGTGGTTAGGGGAAATCAGGCAGGCAGGCAGAGGGGTTAGGGACAATCAGGCAGGCAGGCATGTGAGTGATTAGGAGCCAGTGGTCCCAGATTATAAGAGGGATCTTGGATTGGAGAGGGTGCAGGCCAGGCTGAGGGACACCCCCACCCCCATGCACAAATTTCATGCACCAGGCCTCTAGTAGTAATAATATCATAATAGCTATTGTAACATGGTTACTTGACTTATTGAGATAATCACCTTGCAAGGTATATTTACATCTAATCACTGTGTTATCAGTACACCTGAAACTAATATAATATTACATGCCAACAATAATTAAAAATAAATTTTACATAAAGCAAATGTGTCCAGAAACAGCTCTGAACTGTGTTTTTATACATTTTACCTCTAGCCTGAAGATCATTTTATACCATAGATAGTAGCAATGAGATATTTTAAAGACACACTATGGCAGTTGAATATCATTTAACTACTTTATCAAAAGTAGTCTATTCTCACATCCCTTCATGCTCACATTTTCCTTGGATTCTGACTTAGGGGGAACCAGCACACATCATCACTTTCTAAGAACCTTGACGGCACCCTAAGCATTTTTCCTTGCTAACAATATGCCTGCAGTGGCTTGTTTGTAGTGAGGGAACAAGAAACCCCCGCAGAGTGCCTCACATGTACATGTTTCCTCTGAACAGAAAAGATGAGTCCACAGGCCGGGTGTGCAGCGGAGACCCTGACTCAGGAGGAGGAGGAGGAGCATCAGAAGCGGAGGATGATGGCGAGGCGTTCCAAAATCATCGAGGAGCTGGTACAGACGGAAAGGGACTATCTCAAAGATCTAGAGCTGTGCATTAAGGAAGTGGTTCAGCCCTTGAGAAATAAACAGGTAAATGCAACTTTCAACCTCACCAGCCGTCCTAAATAGGATCAACCAGCTCCAGAAAATCAAAGCACCCACCTTTATCAGTGGTAGCTTCTGCCGCAGTGAGGGGGGTGGGGTGGGGAGGGTGATGGGCCTTTTCCCTGGGTCCCCAGGTTTGGGTAGGTGGACGGTATCATCAGACTCACTTCTTGTGTCAGTAGAGGGACACCTGGATCTAGAATTTTTTCTTTCTTTCTTTCTTTCTTTCTTTCTTTCTTTCTTTCTTTCTTTCTTTTTCTTTCTT